AAGGCAGGAAATGAGATCTGAAACTTTCACTGAAAGGGTATGAACCAGATTCCCAAACTTCTTAGTGGAAAGAAGTTTCTGCTTTTTTTCTTTTTCTATTTTTTTTAATGATTCTGGGTATTTTAGTGTTGAGGTATATATATAGGATTTGATAGTATTTGGACTTTGGGATCTAGGGAGAAAAAGGATATACCCTTTCCATCTCACCCTACCCCCAACCAATTACCTTTGGAGAGGTATCAGCTGCGTTTTGCTAATGAGCATTGCCGGAGGATGTTCTGGAAGTTTGGGGAACACAGGGACTTGTAAGAGTCCACAGTGGAATCAGACAACCTGTCAGTCTGTTTGTGCAGGTATGCTGGCTTTTTCTTTGCAAGACATGAAAACCAATTAGAGCAAAGCTCCCTTAGAACATTTTTGAGGGGGTGGATATTTCTTTTAATGTTTAGCATGGGCATCTGTTGTATTGAAGAGAATGAGATCAACAATTTCTTGATCAATTTTTGGAAGAAAATTTGGAATGAAGGTTAAAAAAACCCCCAAGTTTTGTTGTAATAAGAATTAGCAGAGAAAATTATCTGAGTCCTGTATCTATACACACAATTGAAAGTTCAAAGGAATGAGGACAAAGATGTTTCCTTGGCCATGCTTTTCATTAAGTGCCTATTGTTTTAATAATTACTTCATTATAAAGGAGAGATGTGAATAGTGACCTCTGTTCAATCTGGCCCATGGAAAAGCAAATGGACTGATTTCCTTTGGGCAGTATGATCAATTACCAGTAAGGAAGCTGAAATGAATGAGACTGATATGCCTTTGCACATTGTGTTTTTGCAAAGAAATCAGTGTCTGATGCAGTTTGGGAGAAGACTGGGACTTAATGTTCACACCATAATGTTCTGCCTTCTTGCCCCCACTTCCTCCCCAATCAGGACTTACTGTCAGACAAATTCACCTGGTGCCTAAGAAAAAAATTAGGTGAATATAGGACAGAGACAATACAGTTACATTTTGAGGGTTTTCTACTATGTGAATAGCAGCTGGTTATGGGATAAGTAACTGTCAGCAGTTTTATTTTAATTCCTTGCTAATGGAACCTCAGGGAGAAAATATTCTTGTATGTATTGAAGTGTTCTTTTTTCTAAATTGTACAGTGATTGAAAATTGTGGCTATCACTACTCGTACTTTTACTATTTGCAATTATAATAAAGTGATGGCAATACTATTTAGAAGTTGATACTGAGGCTCTATAAACATTTATTGCAAAGCTGGTACTTAGCTCCAGCATTCCAGAATTACTGTCAGCACAGCCCATTGAAAAACTGACAAGGATCTGTAACACTGAGTGATAAGTGAATATTGTCAACTTGCTCTTTGTAGGTTTCCCTTCGGCTGGAAATGTTGGAGTTAGTTGTAGTAGTCTCTACTTAAGAGATATGGGATTAATAAGATAAATTTAAATCTCATTTTAGTTGTGTTTTTCCTATCCATTTCTTACCTGAACCAAAACTTTTTTTTAAAAAATCATGTATTTGCTTTGTTACAGTAGCAATGTAAAAACAGAAGGTCTGTAAAGAGTTAGCCTCATGATGTGCTTCAGGTAGTTTATGTGAGAACTCTTGGGTCCTTTAGCTCATGGTTCATCATTACTGTAGAATGAAGGAATGATACGTATATTGCTTCAGTACTCTCATGTATTGGTGTGTCTTATTAAAACTGTAAATGATAGGGAACCAAACAATAACATTTTATAGTGGAAAGAACCAAGCAATAGTCATCAGTGGACCCAATCTGAGTCTTTGTGGTTCTGCCAATTATTAACAATGTGATGATGAAAGAGTAGACTAACTTCTAGAATACAGTTCCCTGACATATAAAGTTTTTGTTCTAAATAATTTTTAATATTACTGCTAGCTCTAATAATCTATGAGTAAGTAATCACTAGCCATAATCATCCATTAATATGTTCAGCAGGCAGTATAGATAGTCACCTGGGTACCAGGACTTTATTAGATGTTGAGAAGTTTATAAATGAGTAGCAACAAGCTATAGTTTATAGGAGCTAGCAGTCTAGAGGGGAAGACAGATAAATAACTAACTATAATACAGTATGGAAAACACTGGGTCTATGTCTGGGATACTTGTTTAAGAAGCACTACAATCTGAATGTTTATGTCCCCATGAATGGGATTAGTGCTCTTATAAAAGAGGCCCCAAAGAGCTACCTTGCACCTTCTGCCATGTGAAAACACAGCCACAGCCATAAGACACCATCTATGAGGCCAGTCCTCACCAGATTGCCGATCTGCCTGCATCTTGATCTTAAACTTTGCAGCCTTCAGGACTATGAGAAATCAATTTATGTTGTTTATAAATCACCCAGTTTGTAGTATTATCTGGCTCTTATAAGAGCCAGAATCAACTAAGACAAGGAGGTTTCTCAGCCTGTGGACCTCAGGGGTCTTTTGGGAAGACAGATGGAAATGACTTAGGATCTGACTCCTCGCTGTGGGATTCTTCTTCCTGGGAGTTTTAAAACTTGGCAAGGAACTTATCCTGGGATAAAATGGATACCTGACCTTTATTTTATCTTTTAAAAATCAATGATAATCCTTTAATGTCATAGAATATTCAGTAGTTATTAAAATTTACAATCATTTCATAAGGGCCATACATTTATTTTATAATCTGTTTGTTTGATTAAAGTCCATATATGGTTATTGGGTGATGTGTCTTTCAAAACTGCAAGTCCCCCCCCCATCATCTTTGGAATAGAATAGATCAAGACAATATAGAGGTCATCCAAGTATGCCCCGAAGAGCTTTTTTTAAATTTTTAAAAATTTTTTTGGTCAAAGATGCTTGGGTAGGGTGGCCAATCTCATTTTTGAGCTGAAATTAGAACTCAGATTTGTTCAGATTATGGTTGCACAGAGCACCATCTTACAGTAAATGAAAAGCCTTAATTTTGTTGGAGTATAATGAAATAATCCTCAAGTGCTGTGGAATAATTTCCACCACTGTAGCTACTTCTTCTGAAGAATTAAACCTGACCTTTATCTTAAAAAGCATGTTGATTTTCAGAGTTGACAGATGTTTCCATGTGACTCTGGATGATGCCTCTCAAAATATCCTCCAACTGAACTCTGAAGAAATGCGTCCAGTTTTCTCAAGAAAAATAACTGGAAAGAAAACAGCATCAGTAATGGCAGCCTTTGTAGAATATGATCGAAGTGCTGCTACACAGGTAGAGACAGGTGATTCCCTTTTCTGTGAAGGTTGCATGAATGAATACAGAAGGGTGTGATTGGATTAGTGGCCACAGAGACAATATCCCAGAAATGAGAGCAAGGTCAGTCTCTAGGTGAGAAGTGGCAATAGCTTCTAGGCAAGTACTATGATATTTTACCAGCAGAAATAAAACGACAATTTAAATTTAACTATCTTAGATATCTTTTTTTTTTTTTTGCCATATCCCACTTAAGAGGTCCAAAAGATCCCTTACTCCCCCCATCCCACTGATTCATCTTTCCATTTTTAAAGTTTGTCACTGTCCTCTAAATTTCATCAGATCTAATATGCCATTAAATGGACACTGTTATTTTAGGTATCACTGAAAAGGAAAAATGTACCAAGTAAGCTAAAGTTTTGTTATCACTTTATTTTATATGTGCTGAGAGAGCTCTTTAAAAGCCTCTAAGTGCCCGGTGAGTTTTCTGACTCTGTTTTAACCAACTTAAAGCAAAGAAGAGTCTGTAATGGTTGTGCTACCTCCTCTGGCAAATATCAGAGCCAAGCAGTGGTGCAAAGAAATCTCCTAGGAAGTAGTGACGGCATAATCCACAGTTGTCAGAAATGGACAAACGTTTTTAAGATACCTTCATTTGTAAAATTCACCCTGATTTCAGAGACATTAAAATGTGGGGAAAAAATGTACATCTTAGAATAGAAGAACTCAGCTGTGTGTGTAGGAGCTTTGCAATGTTGCCAGGTGTTGAGTGTCGAAAGGTAACTAGGCTACTTAGACAAATACTGAATGTATTGGCAGATAATTCTCTTGATAGTTATTTTTAGTCATTTTTAACAACTCACTAAACTGCTAGTTACCAGCCTTTACTCTTAAGTAAAACTGAAAATTGACAGACTGTCCTTCATTCTCTTTTATGGGGAGGGGGGCTCCATCTTGTTCTTTGAAGATAAGCTTTTTGAGTTGATATTCAACCTATTTGGAGAGCATAATAGTGGGCTGGGATCTAAGTTAGAGAATCATTTGGTGGTTTAAAAGGCTACCATGGTGAGCCCATCTATACATAAGTGGATTAATAAAATGTGGTATATGTATACCATGGAGTACTATTCAGCTATAAGAAACAACGGTGATATAGCACCTCTTGTATTTTCCTGGATAGAGCTGGAACCCATTCTATTAAGCGAAGTATGCCAAGAATGGTAAAATAAGCACCACATGTACTCACCAGCAAATTGGTATTAACTGATCAACACCTAAGTGGAATATAGGAATAATATTTATAGGGTGTCAGGCAGGTAGGACAGGGGAGGAGGGGAGGGGTATATACATACATAATGAGTGCAATGCGCACTGTCTGGGGAATGGACACGCTTGAAGCTCTGACCTGCAAGGGCAATATACATAACCTTAACATTTGTACCCCCATAATACCATAATATGCTGAAATAAAAAATTAATTTTTTAATTTTAATTTTTTAATATTAATAGTGCAAGAAAAAAGGCTACCATGGTGAATACCAGCCACCAGGGGGCCAGAAAGAAAATGGACTTCAGATCTTAAGTGTGATAGATGCAGGATTTAAGCTAACAATTATCATTATTATTGTTGTCGTTATTATGAAATATTGTTACTATTTTTGAGATTCGTTTGTTACACTGATTTCTCTCAAGTTTTTTTGGGCTGCACAATCATGGATCATATGATGGAGATGAAGATCATTTATACTCCTTTCACACCCCACCCCTCAGTTGAGTAAAGTTCTCACGTGCATGAAAGTCAGTTGGAGGGCTAGTTAGAAAATGTTTAGTCCAGACCCTAATCCTGGAGATTCTGGAGTTTGGTAAAGGGTCCTGAAATCTAAATCCTGAAAGTAAAGGTCCTAAAATCTGTATTTTTTCAAAAGCATGTCCAGTTACTTCTCATAAAGATAGTATAGGTATAACACTTTGAGGAGCATGCTCTCATGATGAATGATAAATTGTTTTATTTTGGTGGTCCTGTCTCTCCTTTCTCAGCACTCCTCAGTTACAATTTCCTTTTTTCTCTAAGAATCCACAAAAGCAGATGACTTTTTTCCACAGATCAAGGCAGATCAAGGACTCTGTCTTTGGCTCAGTGTGAGCTAGGGGAACATTTCAAAAAATACATATTAACGTACATTTCCTTTGCACAAAAAAGTACTCTACTTACTAGAAGTTTTCTTAGATTTCACATTATGGAGGTAAGCTAAGTGCTTGGAAGTACCTTTCATCACCCATTACATCCAGTTCTGCCTGGGCTGCTCAGTTGCAAACAGCATTCCAACCTGCAATATTTTGAAGTCAACCAACATACCATTCAGTCTTTTCTGGAAAAGAAAAACAAAAAATAAAATAAAAAATACAAAACAGAAGAGTCATTCATGTGTTAAATTGTTTGCCCTGTAATACATTCAGAGGGAAGAATAAAACATATGATGATATTGTTAATTGGGTGATACAAACATTTGTGATAATGGTCAAGTACATTGTACAGAGTAACTGATGAGGATGGTTGTATGGGGTGAGTGGAAACTTGTTAGCTGGCTGTTAGCTCATTGGCAAAGGTTTGAGCCATTTATGTTGTGTTGGACAACTTGGTGGAGGATTTAAGAGAATTTGTTTTCCTTTATGCAGGAAATGAAGCATGTAGTATTCCATATGTAATTCTTTGAGTAAGAGATAATTGCACTACATACTAACCAACTATTTGCATTTAATTAGCAACAGTTTCTACTGAATTTTATGTACTGTAATTTTTTATAAGTAAATATTTAGAAGTATGTTTGTCTCATTTAGCAACTTTTTAAAGATGTTGTCACACCTCAATGCTTCTCCAAGGTTATCTAAATATCCTACTCAAGGAAAACATCCATCAGTTAATCAACATCACAGGCTTCAGTTTTTTCATGTATCTGAGAACTTTGTACTAAGTCATGTGCTCTTACCACTCCTTACCAGCACTGACATGTGGTAGTAGTTATTTATATGATACTATATCATGTATTTTAGAATTGAATTCAGTTATAATTTAATTTGCATTCATTTGAGGAAGGATTCACGGGAATGTGTTCCAAAGCAGGGCCTCTCAAAGTCAAGTCTTTGAACTACCTGCCTTAGACACATCTTGGATGCTGGGTGAAAATGCAGATTCCTTACTGCTATGGACTGAATTGTGTCCCTCTCTCCCCCCAATCCATACATTGAAGTCCTAACCTCAGTGTGTCTAATTTTAGGATAGGGCTTTTAGGAGACAATTAAGGTTAAATGAGGATATAAGAATGGGATCCTAATCCAATAGAATTGGTGGCCTTATTTTCTCTCTCTCTCCCCCACCCTCCATCTGCATGCACGGAGGAAAGGCCATGTGAGAATATGGCATGAATGTGACTGTATGTGAGCCAAGGAGAGCACCTTCCCATTTAGAACCTGACCATGCAGCCACCCCAATACCCTAATCCTGGACTTCTAGCCTCCAGAACTATGCAAAAATATATTTCTGTTGTTTAAGCCACCCAGTATATGGCATTTTGTTATGGCAGCCTGAGCTGACTAATGCAGATTGTGATACCAAAAAGTGGGTGTGCTGCTGTAACAAATGCCTAGAAATGTGGAAGCAGCTTTGGAACTGAGTAATGGTTAGAGGCTGGAAGCGTTTTGAGATACATTCTACAAATATGGATGTTAAAGGAGATTCTGGTGACAGATCAGAAAAAGAAAGGAGAGCTGGAAAGGAAGTCTGCATATTCTTAGAGAATATACAAATAATCATGAATAAATGTTGGTAGAAATATGGGCCTTAAGGGCTATTCTGGTGAGACATCAGGTGGAAAATGGAATTGGTTATTGGAAACTAGAGGAAAAGTATCCTTTGTTATAAAGTGGCAAAGAACTTGGCTAAAAGATCTAACTTGCCAGTGATGAAACTGATTTTTAGCAGAGGAGATTTCTAAGCAAAGTATTGAAAGTATAGCTTGGATCCTCCTTATTGCTTATAGTAAACTGCAAAAAAAGAGAGATGAATTAAAGAAGCTATTGTTAAGCAAACAGGAACCAAAACTTCAAGATTTGGAAAATTCTAGCTTGTCCATATTGTATAACATAAAAAATGAGAAATAATGTTCAGAAGAAAACACTAAGGGATGGCTGGACTATGACTAGATAAAATGATTATGGGACTATATGAGCAGAAACATTTCCAGTTTTAACTAAAGGGAGTGGAGATAGGAAGACATGGAGAAAGGCTGTCAGACTTCTTAGATTCTACAGAACAGGAGGATAATGCTATTTACTTGTAAATGGATACTATTCAGCAAGAAAAGGGAAGAATAACCTGAAGATAATTCACAGATAACAAGAGCCACTGGCTTGGTTTTAACCTACCAAAGCCATGGGGGCAGGATCCCTGGCAGCCTTGGAGGTGTATCTCAACCTGGCAGAGTCTTAGGGGTGGCACGTGCCGTCTCAGTGGGTCTGGAAGGCAGACCACAAAGCCACAGAGGATTGATCTCGAGACTTTAGATCCAATGGGATTTACCTTGATAGGTTTTGAACTTGCTTATGTCTTGTTGTCCTTTTTCCTTCTGATTTCTTCCTTTTGTAATGGAAATGTCCTATGCCTGTTCTGCTATGTGTATTTAGAGGCACACAATTTATTGGGTTTCATAGGTTCAATGATGGAGTGGAATTTTGCCTCAGGATGAATCACAGTTCGATTCCACCCATATCTGACTAGGAAGATATTTAGATGAGATTTTAGAACTAATGCTGGAATGAGTTTAGATTTTAGATTTTAGAACTAATGCTGGAATGAGTTAAGACTCTTGGGTCTGTTGGGATGGAATGAATGTATTTTTCATATGAGAACATGAATTTTGGAGGCCAGGGGCAGAATACCATGGACTGAATTTTATTCCCCTCTCTATTCACATGTTGAAGCTCTAATCCTCAATTTGACTATATTTGAAGACAGAGTCTTTAGGAGGTAATTAGGTAAAATACTTGGGTTCCTAATTGGACAGGTTTAGTGTTTTTATAAAAAGAGAAAGAGAGAGAGGTCACTCCCTCCACACACATGTATCTAGCTAAGGCCAAGCGACACCACAGCAAGAAGGTGTCATCTGCAAGCCAGGAGCTGAACCTTTACCAGGAACTAGATGGGCTGGAACTCTCATCTTGGGCTTCCTGGCCTTCAAAACTGTAGAAAAATACATTTCTGTTGTCTAAGCCACTCAGACTCTGGTAATTTGTTATAGCATCTACAGCTGACAGAGATACTTGTTTCCAACCTAGTTTTACTGAATATGAACATGAAGTGACTTGTGAGTCTGTATTCTAAGGAAACCCCTACCCTTGGCACATACAGGCAGCCTGGAGAGCATATAGGAGAGGATGGATGGTGTTACAGCACGAAGATGGCAGGAGTCTGGGGTGTGGTATATGCAAATTATTTGATCTTAATCTTTACATGTCTGAGTGGCCAAGGCCCTAGGTAGGATCAGGGATTTGATGGTGCTGGAACAAATACCAGCATGGTCTTTGCTCAGAAAGGCAGCGAAAGTTTTGATGATGTATGAAAAATTCTGATGACTTCTGAAGGAAGCCAGCTATACTATGAGCCAGTCTTGCCTACCAGGGACTATGAGCCTAGGTGTACATGCCATAGAATCTGGCAAATCCCAGGACTTTGGCTTTTACTTTTTTCATGAAGGGTTGTAAATAATATGAGGGGTATCTGGGGTAAAATTTTTAAGGGTTCAGAGTTTAGATTTGATACTATAGCTCCTCTGAAGGAACATTTTTGTCCCCTCTGACCAGGTTCTTGTTATCTTTATACAGCCCCTGATACAATCCTCTGGGACCATATTTAGTGTTCCAGATCTTGTTTCCTTTTGTGTTCTACATCTTTGTCTGTCACAAAAATCTGGGCCAGTACCTGTGTGCAAATACCCAAACTCTTAACGTACTTTACAATGAACTTGCCCTAGTTCCAGCCCTTGGCCAAGGAATTGATAAACTAATCCTTGCAAATATAATGGGTTTTCAGATGATGACTTTTAAGGTAACTTATTTACATTTTAATAGAGATTCTTCAGGAGGCAAACCCTCAAAATGCTAAGGAGTGATTCTGCTGACATATACTTCAGGCTGTTTCCCTCTCAGATTATCATGTAGACAGCTGTCTTATTGACTTAATTCAAGTAACAATCTAACTGAAAGGTATAAATAAAACAACCAAACCAGGTGTACTCAAGGTCATAAAAATCTATGAAAGAGACCTGCTATCCCCTAGCCCAGCATACACATTTTTCTGGAAACTGTCCCTTCCTGTTCCTATTTGTTTGAGGACCATGCTTTATCAAAATTCTCCTTCTCTCTTACTCTCCTCTCTTCCCCTCTTCCCTTCCTCCCTCTCTCCCTCTAAGCCTCAGCACGTGCAGTGAGCACTGTGCATGTATGTGTGTGCATGTGTGTGAGCACACACACGTATGTCTTCAGTCCCTCTTTCTTTGGCCATTTGCATTTCAACTTGTTTACATCTCTCTCCTCTTAAGAACCGTCTCCAGCCTTGCATTCCCTTCTTTATTCTGTGCCAACTTAAGCCAAAGGAGTCTGTAGAATTACTTTCCCTATGTTTTATCTACTAATCATCCTTTAATCTGATTTCTGCACACAACTCACATCCTCTACACAGTTCTAATTCAGGTTATCAATAACTTTCCTTTTACTAAAATTAATCAACACTTCCCAATCTTTACACCTAAAGAGACATTACCCACCATTATTGCCCTGTTGTTGTTTAAAACAACATAACTACTGACACTAACACCTATAGCAATTGTGTTTCCACTACATCTAAAAGAGAAAAAAATCCAGGTCATATCTAACAGCTGTAAGAATATGCCCTTTATTCCTAATCCCTTATTCCTCTGAGTCAAAATTGGAGAGGCATAAACTACTGCTAGGAGTGGTAGAGGAATGAAGCTAAAGGAGAAAGAAGAATCTTACTACTTTCCCATTGTCTTTGCAGATTTTTAGCTCTAAAATATTCTCCAACTAGGAGAAAACAGTTGCCTTCAGGCAGGATTTATCAAGCTCAGCATCATGGAGATTTGGGGACAGATAATTCTTTGTTGTGGCTGGCTGTCCTGTACTTTCTAGGATGATTAGCAGCATCCCTGGTATCTACCCACCACACCAGTAGCATCCCCTCTCCCCAATTGTGACAATTAAAAATGTCTCCAGATATCCCCAGAGGGCAAAATATCTCTAGTCTTTCATTACTGCCCTCCTCAAATTGAGAACCACTGGTTCAAGGGAAATGAAGCTTGGAGTTTTAATTATTGTACTGGACAGGATATTCAAATTACTGAAGTGGACTGTTCTTGGGACTAAAGAAGGTAGGAGGAGTTATGGGACCTGCCAAAACTTCATACAGCACTAGGGAAGCAAAAGTTAAAAACACAAAACAAAAACCATGAAAAAGAATAAAAAGGTAAGTATAAGGATATATGTTCTAGTTTTCCCCAGACAGTTTTATCTCAGCTTAATTATTAATAGAGCCTCTGTTCACTCTCAAAAGTGTCCCATTTTGTGTGATAAATTATACGATCACCCTACCATCTATTTTTCAACTACACAATAAGCTTCAGGAGGAAAGCAACTTTGTTCTTATGTACTGATGTATCCCCACAGTACTGTCATGTGGTCAATCAATAAATATTTGTCAAACCTACAGTAAAACCACAACTCACTTAATTATGTTATGCAACCTATCAGCAGAATTCACCCTAAGAAAACAATTCAAGCACGTGTACAGGGAATTTTCCTCTGTGAGCCATGCTGCAGTTTGGAGGTCTTTACTTGGAGATACTAGGGCTTCTTGCCCACATTTCAACCAGAGCTTCATGCCCAGATTCAACAAGAGGAGGAGGCTAGTTACACGTTTAGTTAAATACATTTCACTGTCACTGCTCTACAAGCCTAATTATGTTTTGAAAGATAACCGTTATTTATGCTTTATACATTATTGATAGGTCAGTTCTTATGATTTTTCCAAAGGGGAATAAATGAGTAGGGAATTTAGTTAGTGAATGATTTTTCTTATACAAGAATGTGGTGCCAAAGAGGTATGCCTTGAAAAACTGTTCTAGATTAACATCTATGTTTCCTTCCCTCATTAGTACTAAGCATGCACTGGCACAAACATACAAATCCATACATGCTCAAAAAAACTTTTACATACTTTGCCTTACTTTGTCATTTTCAAGTTTACATTTTAAGTTACTTGCTGAAGAAATGGAGAACTGCTCTTGATTTAGGAGCAAATTAGGAGTGGTATATAATATGACTGGTAGAATATATAGTCAGCCTTTGATAAGAACAAGATGGCATAATTGGGATGCCCTTCATCTATTTGAAGAAAAGCTTAAAATTATAAGATTATAGCAAATATATATCTGCAATCATACCTTGGAAAATGCCTCAACACCTCTAGAATTGCTGGTAAACTTCTAAAAATATTTATGATTCAGGTAGACCGAGAATGAAATAATATTGTTTTCTTGCCCGGCTAGGAGCTTTCAGATGTTTTAATTTCTCATGCCCCTATGAGTCAGGTATTATTATCCCCATTGTATGTTTCAGTAAACTGTGATTCTGAGAGCTTAGCCTTAGGACTTAAATTCAGGTCTTTCTGACTCTGAGCCATTATGTTTTTCAATATTTCACTAGGAGTCTTTTGGCCGTTAGAAGGCAAGAAGAATAAATACACTAACAAATTTATTTCATTTAATATGGGGAAATCCCTGTAAGCTTGAACAAATTATTACACAGTATTTTTATCTGTAGGGTAAAGATAATAAGAGTAACCACCTCATAGGACCTTATAAGAGACTAAAATTAGATAACGTGTGTACAGAATTTGGCAAAAATCTCAGCACACAATAAGGGTTCAGCAACTTTTTATTAAGCGCAGAGAAAGAATACATTCTGATACATTTGCGAATTATTTTTAACATATATAGGAAATAATTTGAGAAAATTAATAATTCTTTAAACATTCTCTTTAAATATTCTTTTGTTTTATGCAGTCATCCGGCATTTAATGAGAATGTTATTTCGCCAGTATTGTGAACATATGCTCCTAGAAATATTTATGAGTCAAGTAGATTGAGAGTGAAATAGTTATTTTCCTGCCCTGGCTAGCATGGCAGAGAACATACAGAAACATCCTGTCTGCTGTGGAGCCACAGCTTCTTTCCTGGTTAAGAAAATAAAACATACACATTAAGTTAGAAAACACCAAGTTGTGAGATTCTACCTGTAAGTGCAATAGTAATTGGAGAAGGGAGAAATTGTTGTGGACTTAAAATTCAAGAGATGGGATGGATGTTGTTAGTGGGCTCTTTAAGAACTGTAGAACATGGAGAGGGGGAAGGGCGGTGGTCGTGACAACTCTGTTACATGCTTCATAATTTTCCTTACAGAAAATTTGAGAAATCAGTATGTAAACTTGGCCTGTTTGAGTAGGAATTGGTGCCTGTTTTCTTTATTCCTTACCGCAACACTTACAGTAGTGAACAGAAGTAGGGACCATGAGAAGAGGCTAAGCAATTGGTCTCCTTTCATGGATTTTCTCCATGTAAGGAGAAAATAAAATTGATCATTTTCTCCATGTAAGGAGAAAATACAGAGGCCTGTGAAATATTTCATATTTGCCTGTGAAATAACTTCCCAACATCTCCATACACCCTCCTTGCCTACTCTTTGAACTTTGCTTTCACCAAAGGGATGAGGAATCTTTATTAGAC